ATTTGGGTTTAACAGGGCTGTTTGCCTGGAGGCTCAGCACAGTGACCTGTGCTCCCCAGGGGGATTCAGCTCCATGAGCCACCTGAGCCAAACCTTCCTGCTCACAGATCTCCAGCTTCTGGGAGATTTGGCTCAGGCTGCATCCGAGACCTTGGGAACAACCTCTGTCTGAAAGGCACTGCGGGAACCAGGGCTGGAATCAGTGACATCCACACTGCAGCTGCAAACCAGGAACAGCTTGATTTTAGCTACTTACTAACCTACATGTCATTAATTACCATTTAACGATGCACGACTTTGTCTGTATTTCTTTCCTTGATTCCATCTGGAGTCAAACAACTAAGATTAAAGGTCTGTGTCAGTCTGATTAGGAATCACACTTAGGTTGAAAACAGCCCTGTTTTCCAGACTACAGACAGGATTGCTTTAATAGGAGCAGAGCTTCAGCTGCTGGAGATGGTCTGCCTGGAAAAGCCATGGCCAAGGAGGGCTGTAAGAGCAGGCTGGAAGGTCACAAGTGCTCTGCAGAGAGTGAACAGGATGCAGGGGAAGCCAGGAGCAGAAATTTATTTCATAAAAGAGAATTCATGGGGGACAGGTCAACCCAACAGCCTTGGATGCATTCCTTGCACAGGAAGCTCAAATCTCTAATCTTCTGCCCTAAAGGAAAGTTCACCCCGCACTCTCCCAGTTTCTTTCTTCTTTTCCTGGGCAGTTGGTAGTGGGGGATCAAGGTATTAGGCTGGATGCTGCTTTCATGGAACTGACCCAGTGTGGTCCTTGTACATGTTGAAGTGACATCCTCTATGCCACAAAACCATTTTGTGAAAAAGTTTCACACAACTGAAACCCAAGTATCAGCTCTCCTATGGAGCATAGTGGGACACTATAACCTGTTACAAAATTCCCTGAGATAGTAAAATAAAATAATATCGACTGGAAAGACTATCTAATTTTAGACTGGTTTCGCTGTATGCCCTGATCTAATTCCCACAAAACCCCTTGGTTTCATCTCCTGCATATTCTGCAAAAATTTTTTTACGTAGGATTTCATTTTTTTTTTTTTAAGGTTTGAGGATCCCAAATTCCTTCAGGCTACCTAGAGAGGCCTAAAAATAGTAATAAATTTGAAGAAAATTGGACAAAAGGAGATTTAACACGCCAAGGATGCAGCCTGGGGCTGGTGCTGAAGCTGGTGCAGTTTCCAAGTCAGTCAGGCAGGAAGTTTGTTCCCTTTCTCCCTTCTCTGTTTCACAACTAACACTGCACTGGACACAGTAAAAAAATCCTTTGCTTTCCCTGCAGAGCTGTTGCTCCTTCTCAAAAGTCCTGTAAACAAACTGGAGTGCCCCATGGGAACACTGGAATTGAGCTTTCCAGAGGAAATCAAAAAGCTCAGAGAGGAACGAGGGAAGGAGCCATCCTCCTTGTGAGAGGGGACCACGGGGAAACGCTTTGGCCACTGTGTCCCCCTGGATTTTACAGCACACAGGGTCCTCACCATGCTCTAAAAATGCTTGTAAAACACCATCAGTCCCCCGCAGACATGGAATGGAATAAGGAGGTGGCAAGACAGGCTTGGAAGTGGCAAAAAACCATATCTCAGTGTTCCCATCCCCTAATTCAAGGAATCATAGAAGGGTTTGGGTCGGAAGAGACCTTAAAGACCATCCAGTTCCACTCCCTGCCATGGGCAGGGACACTTTCCACTGGACCAGGTTGCTCCAAACCCCATCCAACTAGGCCTGGAACACTTCCAGGGATGGGGCAGCCACAGCTTCTCTGGGCAAATTCCCTTCTTGAAACTTCAATTAGGACTCCTAACAGCAGGGAAACAGTGGGTTACATTTGTCCCTGAACATCTATCAGGAGGAGCAGGAGGAGGAGGAGGGAGTCTCCTGCAGGCAGATGTTTAGCTACAAACAGGACACAACAGGGCCATTTCACAAAATCTGGATCCCAACAAACAGGCTGTAGGATCCTGGGGATCTCACAGCCCACAGACAGAACAAGCTGTATCCAAACAGTGTTTGTCTCCCTTCAAGCAAAAATGGGTGAAAATGTCAGCCAATTAAGCCCTTTCCACCTACATCACATCAGCTCCAAAAGCCCAACGTGATCCCAGCAGAGCTCTCCGGGAAGTCTCGCTCAGCAGATCCGAATCCTTCATGTTAAAATGTTAGGAAGCAGAGCTGCTGCGTGGGTGCCCCAGAGCCACCCTGTGAGCACTAATCGCTTGTGCACATTGAATGTAATTATCTCTCCATAAAGCTCTCCTCAATTAGTGGAGAGTGACTCCCACCATTCAATTTAAGGTTTAAATTTGGAAGGGAGAGATTTTCTGCTGTGTTTTGGGGTGGGTTTTTTTCCCCTTTTAATGTAAGCCATGTACTTGCAAAGAACCCATGGATAAGGCATTAGAACAAAACATGTACAGCCATGATTCTGGCACCTTGTTTCTGTGACACATTCCAGGATGAATTTTTCCAGTGGTCAGCACAGCACAAAAAATACAGCTAGTCACAACTTCTAGTGAATTTAACATATAGAAACCATGGTGATGCACAGAACTAGACTAGCCAAAAGACACATACAAGTGACCATCAGGACCTTCCAGGGCAGCTGAGACTAAAAAACTAGGCAAATATCCAAGCTACGACTTTCCAAAAACTGAAAAAACACCCCACTGACTAACACAACCCCAAATTCTTGTGAGGACTGGCAACAGAGATCTGGGCAGAAACCTCACCCCTGGCTTTGAGGCTCCATGAGGTGACTCTGAAAAAGGGAGCTACCTTTGCACTGAAACACCAAAGAGGAGTGACAGGTCACTGGCCTGGAGGCCAAGAGGGAAAACTGTGTCCAACACCACATTACACTTGGCCCTGGGTCACCTTTGTGTGGTGCCCCTGTGGCCCTAAGATGTAATTCCTATTTTGTGACATTGGGATGGGGGAGGCAGTTCAAAAGGCTGGTAAAAACACAAAGTTTTTGCCTCAGTGCACTGAGTTGTTTTTGTAGCATGAACTGCTCCACAGCCTGATGACACACAGGCAGGCTCTGGGGCACCGCTTAGCGTGGTCAGCGAGAGTGTGAAGCTCGTGTAGAAAGTGCTGAAACTCTGGGAGGGCAGAGAGAGATAAAAGGTGCCAACGCAGTGCCAAGGAGCACATTAACAGCAAAGCAGCAAGGCCTTCAGCTCTGCACCTCAGTTCCCAGCACCATCACTCTCCACTTCACACAGGGGTGATGAGTAAAGAGGAGGAAAGTGCTGAGACACTGTTGGACTGGGGACCTGGCACAGACACAGCTTGGTCACTTCCCTCCAAAGCCACCTCATCAGGTTCACCAAGGAACTACTCCTTTCACTTTGTGTGCAAATTTGGACTTCCTTTTCGCTCTATCAAACACATAATGACAGTCATTTCCCTAAGCTTGCTAAAGGGAGGCTTGGGCTAACATGACTTCACTGCTGACAAGAATCTTATACTTACTGGATGCTGCTGGGATTAAAGACTCGGAAGGAGGAATTTTGACCTTTCCAAAGCTTTAATTTTGTTGAATTTATCCGTGGTAATAATCACTGCTGAGACTCCTTATAGCCACAGTCTGCAGTCTCAGGAGAGATACATCTAGTGAAACCAGCCCCACAAAATTATTTCCCTGGGCATGGCTGAGGCCTCACAAAATACTACTTAAATTCATAACTTTCACTACCTGCCTCAAAGGAATCTTCTGAATGCCAGGACAGGCACCAAGACGATGAAAAACAAATGCTTTGCTGTTCACCACCAACACTGTTCTCCTTTTCTTGAAAGCAGGCTGGAGGCAGCAGTTGCACCTAACAATCTCCACAAAAGCTGTTACCTCCAAGGCTGCCAAGTAACATCATCTTTTTTTTTTTTTGCTTGTTGTTGTTGTCTTGGTCTTTTATCCTGCTGGTGCACCAAGAGGCTTTACCTCCAAAAACCAAGAGCTGATTTTGAAGCACAAAAGCTGCTGTTGTGGGATGCTGCAGCATCTGTCCCAGCATGTCATTTTTGTATTTGGAAGCAGAGCATCCCCACAGGTCAAGCACAGCCAGGAAGTCACTCAGCGACCCCATTCCAGCAGCTCCCACGAGTCAGTGCCAGCCGAGGTGGGGGCACAGGCTCCTCTCTCCTGGTATCTTCTTTCTCTCCCTCTCTGCCACTGATCTGCCAGCAGAACCACTGTTTGTGGTGCTATGTAACTGCACCAGGCCAAGAAAGGCAGGGCAACTAAGAGTAAAATCCCAGCAGCAGGATTGCAGGAGTGGTGTTTGGAGGGGCACCCAACAGCAAAGCTCCTCTTGGCTCTGTGCAGTCTGTTGGAAGGATGAGGGCACAAGTCCCCCCTGGCTCGGAGAAGCAGCATCTTCCCCCTTCATCTCCATCCCCCACCATTTCTCAGTTTACAGCAGCCCCCTGTGCGGGGACAGCACTGCTGCGGGGTGACGTTTTGCACAGATGTGAATGTCAGCTAACTGGAAGAGTGAAATTTCAGCCCAGCCAGTGTTTACTACAGAGGGGAGGGGAAACACTCACGGGTTTCTTTGCCTCCAGCCACAAGTGCTCACAGAGTGCAGGCAGGGGAGGGTGACAGGGCAGGGAGGGCAGACAGGGGGACACAACACGCACAAGCTCTGCAGTGGAGTGATGCAATTTGGCAGCTACCCTGGGAAAAAAGGCATTGTCAGCACTGCAAAGCATGCAGGAAATTCTTTAGCTGGCAAATGCAGATTTATCTTTTCCAGAGGCAGCAGAGAGTGGAAAAGGCCCAAAGAGAGCTGCAAATAAGAAAGGAAGCAGTGATGGGATCAAGACAGCTCTGGAGATCAGCTAGTTCAGCTCTGTCCTGGAAACACCCCTCTTCTTGGAAAAGGGGTGTTGAAGGAAAACAGAGCCTGGGAGAGCCTGGAAGACCTTCTATCTACAGACCCAGCTCAGCAAATGCCACATCATAGGAGAAAAGTGTCTTACCTGAGTGGTTTTGGCCCTCCTGCCCTGCATGCTGCTGCTGTGGCTGATCTGGGGGTTGGTGGCCCCTTCGGAGAGGCAGTGTGACTTCCTGCAGGGCAGCGTGTTGTAGTTGCTGTAGGAAGAAGGCGCATCCTCGGCGGTGACCGAGGCCATCTTATGGCTCCCGATATCCGGGATGTCGGACACCAGGTTCCGGCAGTACCCTCCGAAGGCGTTCCGTGGGCCCCCGTTCATGGCAGCGCCCGGGGTTTTGGGGGAATACAAGTCACTCATGGAGTTGGCACGTTGGCAGGTGACCAGAGGCTGGGGGCTGCCCCCGGCCTCCGTGCCCGGGGCGGCCTCGGCGTCCTTCTCCTCGGCCAAGCCCAGGATCTCCTCGTTGCTCGTCAAGTGCTCCTGGCTGAGGTCGGAGAGCGAGAACTCCAGGCTGTCCTCGCGCCAGATGTCGGCGGACTTGGAGCGCTTCTTCTTGAAGCTGGCCGTGTCCATGAAGCCGGTCCCGTTGGCCGCGTACCGGTGTCCCCTGCCGTCGCCCTCCGCCAGGAAGGGCGGCTCGTCGCCGTAGAGCCTGCTCTCCTCCGAGCCGGGCATGCTCTGCACGGAGGCGGCCGTGAGGACGGTGCTGCTGTCCACGCTGGGCGTCACCGACGAGTCGGTGTGGTAGGACACGGGCCGCAGGCCCATGTCCACGCGGTCCACCCACATGGGGCTCCCAAAGTCCTCCAGGTTGGCCTCTGGGGCGAAGGGCTCCAGGCCGTTCTCCGCCAGGGACTGGGGGATGCTGGGCGTGCTGCTGGAGCGGGTGCTCACCTCCGAGTTGCGGTGGATGATTTTGCCGGAGGAGGCGTGGCGGGAGCGGCGGGAGGCTTTGTTGGACAGGCGCAGGGAGCGGGAGGTGTGCTTGCGGCCCAGGCTGGTGTGCTTGTCCCCGTAGAAGGCGTGCTCCACGCTCTGGCTCTCCGCGTTCCCCATGGCGTCACAGTCTGCGAGGGGAGAGAGCGGCACCGTTACGGGCTGCGGCCGAACACGCGCAGGAAGGAGACACATAGAAACACCCACGACACCAAAACCAGCCTTTTTCTTCTTAATTACTGAACCTGTCCCAAACCCTGCACCACAGAGTCCACCGGGTCTCACAGGACCTGCTGTAACTACAGCAGCTAATCCCACAGAATTAATTAAGCGGCTGTACCAGCAAACTTAGAAATACAACTCTGTTAAATGAGAAGGTAGGAAACAGCCCTGCTGGTGTAAATGAAGAGTGTAGAATTCTAGAGGGAAGGATTGAGCCTTGAAGCCTGGCGTGAACTGGAACCAGCTTAGCACCAAAGTGCAATCTCAGCTCTGCACACATTCACTCAACTCTCAGCGTCAGCTTTGTCATTCCAGCCAACAAACTCAAAAAAATCAACAGCTCTTGCTTATCTGCATGTAACAAGATGCCGAAAAGTAGAGGGATGTACACCTTTATCTGAGATTTCACTTTTTTTTTTGGTCAGGAACAGCAAGCTAAAGCACCAAAGAGCAAACTACAAATCCTACCATTTGGCAGCAAGCTAATGACAGGTTTGATTTCTGGAACAAAAAAACAGTGCAACATTAAGCAGGTACAGAAAGCCCCACACAAGAAAGCCATATTATGAAAAATAAATTAGCATGAGTGACTCAGACTATACAAAAATAACCTTTCCTTCCCACTCCCTCTGAAGCAGATAGCTAGATCCAAGTGCTTTGATCTGAGCTGGAATGCAGGGACTGGGTTTCTGTCCCCATCCCCATCCTCCTGCATTATTCACCCGTGCACATCCCGCCAGGAAACAGGTTTCCCATCCAGAAGGTGGGAGTGATGATCTGGTTCAACCTTTGGAAAACACTTTGAGGTCTGTGATCTCACTCAACAAATGTCAGAAATATTTTATAAGTAGTACTGGGCAAGAAGAAGAATAAGAAAAGTAAACGTTAAAGTTCACAGCCATTCAAAATTAAACAGGAGATCCCGAATTACACATGAGACAACTATATAGAGATAAACAGTCCATCAATCTTGAACAGAAATTCCAAGGCAAAACATCTTTGTTTTGAGGTATTTCCATTCGTCTTGGCTGAAGAGAAAAAAGCTGCCCCGAGAGTAAAACAACGGAGTTTTTAATTTCTTAGGGCATTTTCCTCTCCTTTGCCAGGATGCCCTGATGGGTTCTGAGCCACATTCTGGCAGAATGAATGTGACCATGCATTTTCCCCTCTAAATATCTAAATACACACCATTGCTGCTGCACAACACTGAATTAGCCCTACATAAATTCCATGGAAAGTGAGGAATCAATAGCATTAAACACAGGGACAGCACTTCTGCCCTAGAGGTGTACAGCAGGACTGAACTCTGCAGTGACACTTCTGACTACAGCCAGAGGACTCTGCTTCTGCTCCTCTAACCAGGGAAATGGGTCATGGCTGAGGCTAAAAGTCTGTTCAGTGCTGAAGCAACAGACACCTCCATAAATATCTGGACATTTCTGTATCTAAAATAAATAAAATCTCATTTGAAGTAAACTCCACCAGGAAATTCCCCACGTCTACTGAAATGAATGGCAGAACTCCCTTTGGCTGCCATGACTTGGTTATCACACATTGTTTAGAAAAATAAATGCACTGAAGAGAGAGAAAGTTTAAAAGAAAAGACAGCATTATCAACCCCTAAACATGGTTTATCCTTTAAAAGCTACAGCCCTTTGATACAGGCCAGAATGAAACAAAAACTCAACCAGCTTTTGCTTCTAGAACACTTTAAAGCACAAAACTTGTACTTTTAGTTCCACAGATATCTAAAACCAGGCCTCAACACTCCCCATGTTGCAAAAGGAACCCTTGGGGCAATGCTTCTAGCTGCCTCAGTTCTGAGCTCCCTGCTAACCACACTTCCAGTCGGCAGGATTTCCACGGGCTGCACAGCCCGGCAGAGCCTGCAGCCATTTATCCCCCATCTCCAGCCACACCATCACTTCTCTACCTACGGAGAAAAAGCAGTTTTTAAAGTCCTCTTGAAACCCAGAGAGATTGAAGAGTGACTCTTTACCTTCCAAACCAAAGCTGCAGAAGGGCAGGAGTATCCCCCGGTTGATGGAAGCGGCTCTGGAAAGTTGCCCTGTGCCACCACCCTGACACAGTCTCCATCCACACCAGGCAACACCTCACCCAGCCAAAAAGCAACAGAACCACAAATGACCAGCAAAGAAAGGAACAGCAGCTCAGGAACCCCCGCAGACAGCAGCAGGAATGTTTAGGGAGTGATTTCACACAATGAGAAGTACCTGCAAAGTAATTGCAAGAAGTGTCAGACTTCAAAGTAAAGAGCTGTCCCTTTTTAATTCCAGGGATTGGCATTTCGGGTGGATCTGTCCTGAGATAAACCCAGACCTCACTCCTGCCCTAATCCCACTGACTTCCCTGGCATTACACTGCAGGTTTGTAGGAATGCTGGGCGGTGGGTGGGTGCCAGAGGGCTGCAGGCAGACGTGGTGCACTGATCCAGCTGCAGCAATACAAGACAGTGCCATCCCCCAGGCATGTGACCATCCCCTGGCAGAGCCCATCTGCCCTGGGAGATGCAGGACACACCCTGGGTAGGGACAGTCAACCCCATCAGGTCAAACTGAGAGGGACTGTTTGTGGGGTCCTCTGAAAGGGACCCCCACCCTACTTTCTCACCTCCATTTTTGCCTCCCCTCCACATTTCCACCAGTTACCCTGAACCAATTCAAGTGGTTCATGCAGCAGAGTCCACTAAAACAGCAGAAAATAAATCCAAGGTTAAAAAAAAAAAAAGTTTATTAGTTAGTTTTTGCTGAGCTAATGAGCTGACCTGGCACATGCCAGGGGCAACACAAGGGTGCCCATGTGGTGACACAGGAGGGAGAGGAAGGGGCAGTACCAGTCAGAGGGGCCAGGGAAGAGGGGACAGTGGATGGCACCCCTGCATTTTCTGGCAGCAGTGAGCTCTTAGGTGAGCCCAAGCAGATGTGAAAAGCCAGCCCTGAAACATGAATTGGCACTGGAGCAGATGCCGGAGTCCTCAGCTGGCAGGAGCTGGGCAGGGGAGGGGAGCCTCAGCCTCCCCCTCCCACGGGCCACAGCAGACACCCTGAGGCAAAAGCATCTTAAACTGCTCCAGCTACAACTGCCAGATGCTGCCTGTCTGTGGCTTAACTGCATTTAGCACACTCAGTGAAAAAAATCTGTATCAAATTAAGAAAATTAGTAATATTAATGGGAGTTGCACGCAAGTGCTGGGAGGACAAAGGCTCCCCTTGTTACCTCACCCACCAAACCCAGAGGTGACCATTAAAGACCTATCAAGGGTACCACCAGGATACAACATAAATCAAGTGTAACACATCTTGATGCTTTAAAACAGGTCTGTCTCTCTCAGCCGAGGGCTGGGACGTGTCAGAAATCTGCTGTGAATTACTCAGAGGCTCCCAGACATCACACAGGCCATGCTGACAGCACGACTGCTTGGACACTTCTCAGCAGAAAATGTTGATTCATCAAAACCCAAACTTTTTGTGGGAATATGCTGCCTTTGACTAAGGGCTCTGAGAGGGAGGGGTTTGAAAACCAGAGCAGGGAGACAGACATATCTCCTGGAAGAGGCACCAGCTCAGTGACTCAGTTACTCACTGAAGGAGATTCAGATTTGTATCTGCAGCCCAAGTCAGACAAATGAGGGGTGGCAACTTGTTCCTCCACGTCCTCAAAGAGGTGGCCTGACCATCCAGCTCTGGCTGTGCTGGGAAAGGGCTCTCTTTCCCAGAAAATCTGCTCCTTCCTGCTTCAGAGCAGGGGTAATGTCAAATTTGTGCAAGTCTTCAAGGGGTTGGGAAAGTCATCTTGCAGCCAAGCTTGCACATCAAGAGGGGTACAGGGGTTTGAGATGTGTTTTTTGAAAACCCAACATTAGGCTGTCAGCAGGGAGAACAGAAATTCTGCAGGAAAGCTTTGGGAAAAGCTGTGTTCCCTGCACCAGGTACCCTAGAAAAGCATACTGACCTCTGGCTGAACTGCTGAGGTTTTGCTGGATGAGTCTTACATGGTTACACATAAAGACTATCACATTCCAAATGACCACTGATGATGGCCCCCTCAAAGAACACAATTTTCTTTAAAAACAGTCATTTTGCCTTCCCTTCCCTTCCCTCCGATATTAAATATTTCTTAAAATAATTACAAACACAAATAATTGAACACTCATTTCAATTAAACCCAAGTTACTAACTATTACACTTGCAAAAGGCTGGACCACCAGGTTCCAGAAGAATTTATCTGAAATATATTAAATTTCCAACCAAATTTGAAGCACCTCACAAGACAACAGATTGCAAATTCAAAATTAGATTCTAGTGGGAGGCCCTGGTGACAAATCTGTATTTTTCTCCTGGAGCGGAGCTTGAAGGCTGTGAGAACCAGAACAATGATCAAATCCACAGCGGGCAAGGAGCCTACAGAAATAAACTTCTGCTAAAATCTGCCAGCCAACAACAAAGATTTTTTTACTGAACTCACCAGAACCACATAGAAAAATGTACAACACTAATAACCAAGTGTGAACGCACACATTTTATTGTAATTAAAATGTGCTTTTTCAAGAGGGCAAGAGCGGGGCTGGAATTCCACAGAAAGCCTTTGAGTTTCTCGGAAACTCCAGCAGCATATTCCATTGTTTTCACATCAGAACCTTTTAAGCAGCCATTTCTTCTTTGTAAGTCGCTCTCACACATGTTAAAACATGGGATGGACTCCAAAAAGGCCCTGCAGGCAAATCGAGTAAGAGGAGGAGAGAGGGAGGAAGGGATGTCACCAGGAGCCGCTTGATAGCCATTGTAACCACATTTTGCCCTCCCATGAACATCACACAGCACAGCAACCTCCTAAAGAAAAACACAGGGACACACATGTACCTTCCGAGGCAGTACCGGTATCCAGCGCAACCTTCCCCCAGAGAGCTGTGGCATTTAGAGGTACAGAATTGCAAATGACACCAAAATGAGCAGTTACTGGGACTGCAGAAGCTGTCAGCACCTGCCACTCAGCGACTCCATTACTCCCTCGTCAGAGTCTATGACTACATGCCAAAAACCTGGGGAGAAAGAGGGGAGAAAAACAAATCAGACAAAGGGTCAGCAGGGAGGGCTGTACAGGAGGATCTTCTGCCAGGGCCTCTCACCATCACTTACCTAAGAAACACTGGGCAGTACAGCACGAGAATGCTGTGCTCAAATTCCAGTGATGAAATCTGATGGTGGCAGAATAAATGAAAAACCCAGCCAGGCACCATCAGTCCCAACAACAGATCGTGGAGGGCTCCTCTTCCCACAATCAAAATCCCCACAAGACACCAGCGTGCCCTTGCTGGGGATGGTCTGTCTCAGGCAGGGCTAGAAAACCTCAGGTACCAGAAACACACCTGGAGAGGCACCTTCCAATACGCCAGGACTGAACTGGCAGCAAAGGGGAGCCCAGCAGCCCGGGGAGGAACTGGGAGGCCTCCCAGGAGATTTCTCTGTGCAGACTGTCTAATTTACAGAAAGGGCGGTTTTCCAAGCAGGGATTTCATTAACATTTTTCAAGGGCGAATCAGACAATCAGGGCAGAGCATTTACATGTGTTTTGTGTGTGGTGAAAGGATTGTTGGGTTAATTGCACTCACTAAGGCACGGATACAAGAGACCAGTCTGTGCTTATTTAGACCTCAGGACTGTCCTTACGACTTCTCTTAGGTTAGACCCACGTGTGCACTCCTGTGGGTACCAAATTCCAGCCCTTTCCTGGCCTCATATCACTGCTGAGCTCCCTTGCAGGTGCCCCAGCTCCAGGTCCAGGCCTGGAGATACAAACTCACCAGAGGGCTGGTTGTGCTTCCCAATCCATCTCCCATCAACTCCCCCTTCTCCCAGCCAAGCACCGGCAGCAAAACACCAACTCAACACTGCGCACAGAGTGGTGAGAGTTATAAACTTCTCCTAAAGTCCCAAGGAACAAAAACCTTGGGAGAGATTACTGATGCCCTTCATGTCATTAGAGCTGCTTGGTGGGCAAAGGGGGATCCTCGTTCTTGGCTGGATTCTCAGAAGAGATGAGAGTCACTGGCACCTTTTTATACTAAAAATATTCTCATTTTCTTTTTCCTCCTTCACATTCTCCTCTTTGCTCCCCACCTCCCTCTCTTCCCCCAAGCTGTTGGTTGAGATCTGAAAAGCAGTTCATGAATTGCTCAGGAGCTGGCAGAAATTAATAAAATGAAGCTCATTTATATTGAAATGGACTCATTACCATGCCAGCTGCCAATAATTTGCAGGAGGGGAATCTTGCTGACAAACAAGGTCCTACAGGCAAGAGGCTCCCCACCTGCATCCACCACATGGAGAGCAACCCTGCCATGAGCACTCCTCACCTCCAAAAGAAAAGGAATTGTGACCACCTTTGTTCAGATCCACCTGCTACTGCCCCAGAAAACTTGACTGAAAGAAGAACAAGACAGATTTTATCAGATATTCCATCCTGAAGCAGCTTTTGAGGAGTTTTTTTTGATGCAAACTCTGGTCACTTCCCACACCACCTGTGCTCCTTCAGCAAAAATCCTTCTCTCCTTGCAGTCCTTTGTTAAAAAGTGGATGTTTACAGCTGGATGCTGCATTATCCAAATCCTTGCTCCCCTCCAGGTACACTTGAAGGGCTGGCAACACCCTCAGCCACAAGCAGATGAGTACCAGGCACACACAGCTCCCCCAGAAGAGAAGGCTTTATCATTACCCATGGACCCTTTCCTGAAAAGTTTTGCTCCTATCAACTTTTATGACTCAGACAGTCTTTCCTGAATGAACACAGGTCATGCTTTTCAAGAAGAACATCAGTTTTTCATTTTCCTCTTTGTCCGATATGCACTTGGACAGGTCCTTGTTCTGTTGCTTCCCAGTTCACTCCAACAGCCCAGGCTCTGCTGCAGCAGAAATTCTGGAGCTCTGAAGCAGCCTCAGACAAGGCCTTCCCTCCAACAAGGTCTTGGCAAACAGGGATGGCTGTGCTCCTCCACCAGGAGGAAGGGCTGAAGCAAACACAGCCTCATAGATTTCTTCCCAGCACAGAGCCCTGGACACATTTGCTCTGCCAGAGGGGTCTGGCTGAGGGAGAGGCTGACCAGTAACACACCAGGAACTGTTCTCAGGGGAGACACAGTTGGAAACACACGTGGAACAACAACTCATCTCATTATAAAAACAAACAATCAAATAAAGATTTGCTAACTTCCATGCTCAAGACAAAATATTCCATCTTAAACACAGACACACACACACACTCACACACACACACACACAGGTACATCCATGGTGTGTTTGCCAACGTTACACACAGCAGTGCAAGCTCCTCATGTTCTTTGAAGGTCTGGAAGCAGCACAGCTGTATTTATTCCACAGCCACAAAACAGCGCCTTGGAAAACCAGGCCAAGGAGTTCCCACAGGGCTCATCGCCCAGCAACTGAAGTCAATCCCAGCCCAGGGAGCGCGGAGCAAACCACCAGGGATGGGTTAAATGCACAGTAAGGAAGCAGAATATATTAAAGGAGCACCTTGTTACTCACATCTGCTACCTGTGATTCCAGGGACAGCAAAGAGAGCCCTGACTGTCACGTGCTGGGGGCAGTTTGCAATGCCAAGAGGGCAGCAAAAAATCCAGCACACCTTTTGCTCGTGGACATTCAACAAGAACATCAATAGATGAAAAATATGGAAGCTGTAGTTTTCTAAAAGCCTCCTTTTCAAAGCAGAGCCTTTCCTTTCCAGCAAGAAAAATTCAGTGTGCAGGTATATCCTCTTGCCCAGTGAACAGGAACAGCTGGTGAGAAGGACGACAGCTCACTTTCTAGTTTTACTTTTTAATTTTATGATGCATCGTTTTTGTCAGATTCCAAATGCAACTACAGATGTGAGATCAGCTGGCCATTAAGCAAATTTTCATCCTGTAGTAACTCCACCATAACCTGTCAGGATGCATATACAGAGACAGAAAGCAGGAGTCATTCCATACAGAAGCTACTTACTATTCATCAGTGGCTCTGGGCTGTATTCCCCACCCACACTCCCAGTCCCACGCCATTGTAACTCCAGCGTTCGATCCCATCTCCTGAAATGGAGAGTCAGGCCCTTTATTTGTAACTGGAGGCCACGTTTTGTTGGCCTTTATTACCTCTAGTTAATGTGAATGGCTGCTGAGATCAATCTGTCCCATCACCTCCCCTGAGACAAAGGTAAACGCTCCCGAGTGCTCCAGGGTTCTGGTGGCCTGACAGCCCTGGCTCTCCCCATCCTATACCCCTGGGTTGCCCTCCACAAAATAAAACCCACAGGAAATGGATCATGGAATATCCTGAGCTGGAAGGGACCCACAAGGACCACCCAGTCCAACTCCTGGCCCTGCCCAGGACACCTCAACAATCCCACCCTGTCCCTGAGGGCATTGTCCAAACGCTCCTTGAGCTCGGTCAGCCTTGGGGCCACTGAACCTACGTATGACACTGAGCTCCAAGACCAGCTTCAGTGGATTGCAGAAGCTGGCTGACTTTTAAACCAGTGAAAATAAATGACAAACACGCTCCTCTTCGTGTTTTCTTTCTACGCCATATAAAATGTCATTTTCGTTTGTGAGAAAAATCTGTTTTAAACCAACCACGGCTTATACTACCTGTTGAGGAGAATGGCTGCTCCTGAGACCAGAGTCTGATGACAATGACCATCCAGACGAGGCTGGGGGGACCATCTGCACACCCCCAAGAACTGGCCCACAGAGTTGGAATTGCAAAACCTCTTTGCAAGCGTCTCGCTAACACGCAACCTCCGTGTCTGTCACAGCCGGGAGAACAATGCTGGTGATTGCTCCAGATGAAGAGGAGGGGAAAGAAAAATAAACCCACATTCCCTTTGTGAAGAACTCCTAAAGGGAAGGTGTAGGAAGCCTTGCTCTCCTCCAACTGGAGCACCACCCCGGTGAGAATTTCTAAGGGAGGGAAGAAAAGGCAAAAGGAGAGGGAGGGAGGAAGGTTTGTCAAGAGACCTAAAACCTCCGTGTAGCCGAAAATCAACCATCCCCAAATCCCAGCTAAAAGAAACAAAACCAGGAGCACTGACAGAGCACTGAGGGCCCTTGGTAATAAATTAATGGGAGAGCAGAGCAGTTAGCCCAAGGGAAAGCCCCCTCTCCAGGGTTTCTATATTTATACCAGGGGATGTGAATAATTGGCACTGTTGTGGGATTGTTTGTTTTTTAATCATTTTTACAAGTATCTGAGCATGTTTTAACTCTTTCTCCTTCCCTTGCCTTTCATTTTTAACGGTGGGAAAATCCCCCTTTCTTCCCTAAGGGAAATCTGCAAGGTTTTACACGTTTACAGCAAAGGGCAGAGAAGGGGAAGGATTCTAATTTCAGATCATCAGACATAAGCAAATCTATGGGAAGCCACGAGGGCAACTCCCTGGAGCCTGTGGGGCAGACAAAGCCCAGCCACGAGGGAGCTGCAGGGAAGAAGGAGCCCATTTGGCCTCCATGGAGGACAAGAAGGAGAGAGGTGGCTACAAAGACTCCATGTGCATTTATATGTTGCTTAAAAAAATAAAAATAGTTCGCCAAATGCAGCTGAAATAAAAAATAAGGTGTGGTTTGTTTATTTACCTTTAGCTTCTACGTTATTGTTATTACACTTTGCTTCAAAAGGACTTTCTGGTTGTGCCAAAAGGAGCTGGAAAACTGCTGATACACAGCGAGGACAGCACTTGCCAAATGCACTAAAAGGAACTCAGGAACTCTACTGAGGAGGAACAAGAAAATGTTCAGACCAGGAGACGGAGCTCCAGATGGATCCATGAGAGCACTCACTGCACAGCCAAGGATGGGCAGCTGGAGGAGGGAGAAGCAGAGCAGGACATGGCAGACCCTGCATGCACAGAAGAACCACCCAGCACCACAGACTCCAGCAATTAAAACTGCAACCCTTGGCTTGAGTGACCCAGGAGCTGCTGAGATGGGATGTGAAGGATTAAAACGTTGTGGAAAAAAACCTGAGGACAATAATTGGGGTAGGGGGAATT